TAAAAAAACGCTGCAAATTATTCCACAATGGTTTATTATTTCCAAACAACTATACATCTAAAGTAACATTACCTTCTAGTTACAAAGAAAAATAAATAAAAGATGATTCCAATTACTGGAATTAGTTTTTTTTTTTTAATCATTAGTAATATGCTAAAAAAAATAGCATTACTTCAGTAACACATTCAAAATTTAAAAACCAAACAAAGGATATAACATTTGCAGTAGAACATAAAAAAAAAAAAAAACGGAGATCAAATCTTTGCTCCTAATTGTCCGATTTTAACGATTTTTTTGTTTTTAGAAAATTTCGAAAACTTTTAAAAAACCATATACAACATTCCCAAAAAAGAGTATACTTTTTGAGTTATTCGGAATTAAATTTTACCATCCCACGTAACTTTTTTCCAGCTTCTTTTCGTTGAGGTATGTTATATAGATAAATTTAAGAGGGTAGAGAAAATGACTTTAGCGAAGTTTCATTGAAATCGCTACATTCGTTTAGGCGCTGCAGTCTATAGCAACTCAGGTTTTTCGGCTGCCATATTGAAAGTAAAAGGCTTATAATAATGTCGATGAAGGAGGATAATCCTCGGGTGACCTCTGATTTTATATCCAACTTTGAAAAAAATCGGTCCAGTAGTTTCGGAGAAAATGCGCGGACGGCGGACGGACAAAAAAATTTGTATTCATTTTTCGAATTCTACGCATCCTGAAGCGTGAAACCTCAAATTTTGAGAGGGGGTTAAATTTTTGAATTTTTTGGTCGATCACAATGGTTGATTATTGAAAATAATAAACCAAAATTGGGATGTTATTAATACAATGTTCTTTTTGATTATAAAATAAAATAATTTTGCTTCCTCAATACTGAAAGTAGAGAATTTTTGTATTTGTGCGGAAGGTTGGAAAATAATTTGTGCTCAGAAGCAAAACTTTCCACTCGCGTTTTGCATTTCAGACATCAAGGATCAAATCTGATTCTGTGGCTTTAGTAAAATCGATGTGATGGGCTTATCACGTACTACCGTTTATCTGGTTTTCAATGAAATTTTCAAGGATTGTGCAGGTTGGCACTAGCGGATCCAGGATTTAATTTTGGGGATGGCTTCTGCCCGAAAGATTTTTTTTCGTCATATGCGTATAACGATAATTAATTTGAAAAAAAAATAAAAAAATTAACTACCTATATGACATGGTGTTTAAGTGGTTCCTGAAGTCTTATTAAATGTAATTACAGAAACAAGAATACTTTAAGAGATAGTTTTTAATATTTTTTTCTGTAAAACATGGTTACATTTTACCATTTTGGGGGGGGGGGGGGAGGGCTTCAGCTCGAAAGCCACGCCCGTGCAGGTTGGTGCCTAGATGGTCCCATATAGATTTCATTAAATTCTATATATTAGTTTCGGTTTCGCACGCGAATATTATTTTCTTACATATGCCGATATTTCAGAAACAGCTCGTTTGATTTGGCTCAAAGTTGAAAGAAATGTGGGTTTTGGTAAAATAGCGATGCTGTATCGATTTTATTAAATTCTATACAGTATTTCCTGTTGTGCACGCGCAAATGTATTTTCTACGATGTACCGATATTGCTGAAAATATTTCTTCAATTTTGCTCAACCCTAGTAGAAAGGTGAATATTGGTTAAAGTACAATGGAAGTTCTTGAGATATAGGTAAGTGTATGAAACCAATGAAATTAGTGAGGAAGCCATACTAGCCTCACTTGGCAGAAGTTTTTAAAAATTATTTTCATGTGCCAAATTTTTGCAACAAGCTTTTAAGTGAAAAGTTTTAATATAAAAGAGTTCAGTTGTTTATTTTGCAAGCGAACCTTGATCATTATTTACAAATTTTCAGGAAACTCGAAAAACTGTTTCCTAAATTATTAAACTATATAACACACGAAAGTATATTTTTTATACTAAAATTGCTGGTCGCCATGGTTGACGGTGGCAATAACAAAAACGAGAAGATACACCTATATAATGAAATCTTTATATATATATATAAATATATATAAATCTTTATATATAGATATATATATATTCGGTACGCCAAATCTTCGTCAATTCTTCATCAAATCCAATGATTGACTCTTCGTTTTGAAAATCTCCTTCAGGAGGAAAATTAGTCACAATTACCGAAATTTCAAGAATAAAAGTTATGAACGAAAAGAAATCTTATTTGCGAATAACTCTTGAAAGTGTACAGTTTAATAACATCGAAATCGATTAGAAATTTTTAAATTTGAAACAATATGTACCGACCTATATTTCTATTTTGTTCCTCGAAAAAAAAAACCTCAAATACGAATTTTCATAGTAATTGAAAAATAAATATTTTTTGTACGAAATCGGAGAACTAGCACTGTAACTGTACACATGATTATTTGGGAGATTAATAAATTCTCTATTAGCTATTGTAATTCGTATTAGTTTAAAACATAAAGGAAGTTTTGCGTTTTTTTTTTTTTCTTTAGTCTGTTACAATTACCGAAAAAATAGGAAATTATTCTATGAAATCTTTAATTATTTATTTCCTTATTATTTTGTTTTTGATCCATTGACCATAATTCTTTGCGAAGTATTCGCATGGATCAACTAGTGATTAATAAAAATAATCTTGAAAAAAAAAAAAAATTCGTAATATATTAGTTAAGAAATAGCAATTTTCCGTTACCTGCGTCAGTGAGTCTGATGATGTTTTGCAAAATCATATCATTGATTAAAACGTTTTATTTATTGTTTTTTTTTTAGTAGAGAATTTTATCTCAAAATAGATAATGATGTTTTATTTTCTCTTTATCACAGTCTTGACCTAGCTGTAATTTCTCCTCTGTGATATCTTTTTCCTTATTTTATTGATTTTTTGTTCTTTAATCTTTTAAATTGTGTTGTATGTTCCTTAAGATTAGGTAATGGAAAACTTTTAACTTTATCAGCTTTTTAAAACCCCGGCACTTCAGTTTCTTAACTTGATATACAAAGACAGATTTGAAAGTATATGTATATCTTTAATCTGGAAAGTGGAGTTTCAAAGTTTTTATTGCCTACAGTCGGCCTGACATAGGCGTATTTCGAGTTATAATCTTATGAATTAAGATACGCTTATATTAAAATTTACTTTTCAATATGAAAGACAAGTAAAGTATTATTGGAGTCTGTTGGCGCCTCACTTTGGTTGGAAAAGGTATAAAAAGGGCAAAAATCTTAGAAAAATTTCAATTTAAGCAACATATTTAAAGTGAAAATTTATTGTAAAACGTTATTGACAAAATCAATTATAAATATCTATTACCTATATTACTATCAAGAGGACATAGTGGTAAGAGAAGACGAGCAAATCATGCTACAACTAAATGAAGATAAAACCAAATACATGGTGGTCAGCTGAAAACATAACCCCCGTATCAATTATGAGTCACGAAATTGCATTTTCTTTCAAATTTTTTTATTTCTATACTTTTCCTCCAGTTTTCTATGACGGAAAGGAGTAAATTATGTTAGGTATAAATTTATTTAAATACAGGTAGGAATTTTTTCTTGCTTGTTTTTGGTATAAGTTTCTTGACTGAATTTGCTTGATAATTACCAAGATCTCAAATTATCGCAACTGATTTTTGTATTCATCATTAGAAGAGGGTACAGTAAGACCTTGGCGATCGTTGATGCGAGGTACTTTCCGATAGAAAAAGAAAATTCCAGGTTCCGTTAGGTGATAGCTTATAAAAACACTTTTTTTTTTTTAATTTTGGAAAATAATTTATTTGACACAACACAAAATTATTTTCAGAATTCAGCAAAAATGCCTAAAATATATTTAATGATTTATATTACAAGTTGCATGATTATTGAGGCAGAAACAGTCTTTTTACTTATATTTTATTGAGTATCTTTGAAAATGATGTTTTTATTTGTGCCTATACTTTAGGAATATATGAGTTAACTGTGTCAAACAATAAAAACATAGAAAGTTGAATTATCATAACACCTTGAAAATAGGGATTTTTTCCACTCTCAGACACCTGTGCACTGGTTTGAATCCCGTCAACGCAGTTTAAAATTTATCTAGTGGTGTACCTCGAAATCTCGATCTTCCCACTCTGCTTAGAATAGGTTGGTTGTATCTCTGGAATCTCCCCTCCCATATGCCAGAAATAGCGAGGTAGAGAGTAACTAGGTTCCTCGGGAGGAACTAGAATTTTTACCTGGAGGGGCTAGCTTAATTTTACTGCCCTTCTTTTACTTACCACACTTCCTCCCTCCAAATAAAAATAAAAAGTTTATTACAAAATTTAAGTAATATATTTCGAAATAAATATCATAACCTCGTTAACATGAACCCATTTTATTGACCGAATTAAGGTCAAAACAACCAATAAAGAATCATTTTTTCCTAAGTAAAAAAAGCTCTGCCGAAATATGCCGATTCCTGAATTCTGCTGGCCTTGTGGAGCCCAAAACTATATAAAAAAATATATATATATCAACGACATCGGCCAATCCATTGAAGAGATAATTCTGGCACAGTTACATTAACATATGCCTGGAAATGTTTTTTTTTTGTTGTTTTTTTTTGGAATTAGGAAGGAGGCTATGAATTGTGAATATTCATTGAAAAACGGAAATTCAATCCAACTCCAATATCTTCATTACTTAGATTGTATGGATAGCATAAAGGAAACCATAAATAAATTTATAATCGTAAGATAAATAAAATTATTTAGTTCCATAGATTACAAAATTATTAAGCATTGATTTCTTTTCAATTTATGCAAGAAATAATGTCTGTTCATTTTTCATTAATTTTATTTCTCTTTACGTAATATTTATGCTATTTTTATTTCTATACCTTGTAAAATTTTAAATTTTTGTTGAATTTGTTAAAAAAATTAAACAGTAAAATTTTGATAATGAAATTATCTTTAATTTTTTTTTCTTGTATAGAACTTGTTTGTGATAATATAAGATTTTTAATTATTGATTACATTTCAGAAATTATGAATGAAGCGATTCGGCAGAAGAAAAAGGCTAAAGAGGTTGAATGGAGAGTTCTTGTCGTGGATCAGTTAGCAATGCGAATGATTTCCGCTTGCTGTAAAATGCATGAAATATCCGCAGAGGGCTTGACAAGTATGGTTTTGATGATTTTTTATTATTAAGTTGTATATTTATTTTTTTACTAGACACTTTTTTTATCAAACTTCTAAACTTTTATTTTCAAAATTGATGGGAGTCCATATGGTTTCATTTTATTTTTACTTTTTCTATGTTACTTTGAAAATGATTTTTAAGTCTTCTGATAAAGAAAAGATATAATAATAACAAAATAGCTCTAGATAAATAACAAATCTTTTATATTCAAGTTAAACTTTATTTTTAAAAAATTCAATTTTTGTTAATGATTTTCTTCCTCTGTTCTTATCACTACTAAACATCTTTATTTACTTCTGTATAAATAAATATATTTATTTAAAATGTTATTCAGAGAACTATTAAAATAGATTAATGCAATATATTCTAACAATAATTTAACAAATAATTCTAACAAATTTAGTGTTACAGTGTTAAGTTTATTGAGGTTTATTACTGTCTTAACAGTGTGTCATGAGTGTTACTCTTAAGTAACATTTTATTTCTAACTTATCATCAGCGCCATCTGCTTTTGAGTCAGATTTACTGTGATTATTGTTCTGTTAAATTAACCAACATTTTGCTTCCAGCTATCAGCTCATGTCTATTTTCTAAACCAAGTTTAATTATTGAGAAATAACAATTTAAAAACTTTGCACAAGGTCTTCTGTATTTTAATTCCTTGTTATGAGTGTTATCCTAATAACTTAGTTTAATGTAATGTTTTCAAAATTCATTGAATTTAGTTTCCTAGTATTAGTACATGGTTTACTCACTCTGCTAGCATAATCTCATAATGCCTAACTTTATTGTTAGAATTTTATAAAATGTGCAATCCCAATTTGTCAGAAATGTTAATTGGTCATGATTGTTTATCTTACAGAAAATGATACTCATGGTGCTTATACTCATTTCATTAGTAATTTTACAAAAACTGATACTTTTAAGATGACTGCAACAGTAAAGCAAGAAAAGAGGAGATTGCAAAAAAATAATAATTTTAAAGATAACCAGCCATAAAAAGAAAAATTCTCAGGAATTAACACTATCTTTATTAAACACCTTCCCTCTTGTAAATAACCTGTTAAAAGTTTAATTTTAAATAATTTGTTTTGGCAGGAATTGGCGGATAGCCTTCCGCTTTTATCGGGACTAGTTATTTACACTCGTGATTATCAAAACAAAACCCCGGCACTGGATATAGACTTTTTGAGGGTGTTTAACTGTCGTTGGGAATTCGGGAATCTAATACCTTTTGTGACATTGAGTGAGAAGAAACAATAAGAATATATATATGAAATGTGGGACTTAGTAAATACACTTTGAATGAATTGACTCACCTGGTTTGTTATTCTTCAATTGTGAGGCCTATAGGACAACTAAATAAATAAATGACTTTTCACTCCTGTCTAACAAAACAATTTATTTTACAACTGTAATAAGTGAATCTATTAAAGTCTTATAACTGTAGGCTTGATATTCTTGGTCTTCAATGTCCTGCCTCTCTCATCTCAGGTAACGTCATCTCGCCTCCGTGTCCCATCCTCAAGTAAGTTCTCCTCTCTTCTGACAACCTCCTTTCTACCCGTTCCGGCCTAGAATGCCTTCTCTTCTCTCTGCTACCTGCTGGGTCCTTTCGTTACCTCCAACCTTCTTTCTTCTTCATCGATTATTTATCGATATGCGACTTTTCAATGAATAATTTGTCCGCTGCACCATTGAGTACAATTCATCGTGCCACCTCACATTCCTATATATTCCTTCTCATTCCCTCACACAATGTCACCTAAAGGAATAAATACAGGGGGATGTCTACTACACTCTGATATTTAAATATTTTAGATTATTTTAACAAAGTAACACTTATGACAAACTTCTGTGCTCAGATATTAAAATAGCATCGAAAAAGTACAAAAAATCACTTTAACTCGAAGAATGTATTAATATAACATTTACCACAGTGCATTCTTAATATGTAATAAGTATTTGGTCAAAATTATTTATGAACTGTGTAAAATTGCATTAATATTTAAAATTACATTTACCATATCTTATCAGATATTAAAAATATCATTTTATTGTTCTTAGTTGTTGAAGATATTAATAAAAAGAGGGAGCCACTTCCAACAATGGAAGCTGTCTATTTAATAACACCGAGTGAAAAATCAGTACACTCCCTGATGAACGATTTTGCTTCACCTAATCGTATCATGTACAAAGCAGCCCATGTCTATTTCACAGAAGGTAATTGATCTTATTTATTCTTTTGATTTAGTTATTCATATTATATTTATATTTATTTATTAATATATTCTCATTTAATTATTTCACTGTTGTTAAAATTTCCATTCATCTGTGGTTGAATTTAGTCTAGAAGAAAGTTCAATTTTGTCAGATATCCTCTATTACAAAGAATAAGTGGTATAGTTTTAAATTCTCATATAATTTTTAAATATAATACATATAATTAGTATTTACTAGTTGGCCTGTACGAATAATTCGCAGAATATATTGTTTAGTGAAGGAACAGCAAAATAATATGGGAATAAGTAGATCTTATGTATAATATGAGGAAGGAATCAATTTTGTTTTCGTTGGTTGAATAAAGTATTTCATTTAAGATAATAGACCAAAATATTTCTTCAAATTATTTTTCTATGGTCTATTTTTTGATTCTGAATATTATCTTTCAATATATATATATATATATATATATATATATATATATAAAAAAAAAAAAACCTGTACCACTACAACCCATGAAGGGTCTGGGGTTCAGTGCTATTTAGGGAAAGCACTGTTTCTAGGTCAACGGTTGTGCAAGGAGGTGATTTGACCGAGATCACGCTCAACCGCCAGGTTTTCCCCCTTAATCAATTATTTAATTAAGGGTACCCACTTTATAGAGGCTGGGTGTGCCCCAGGAGGGACTTCTGACCCAAGGTCGCCCCACGGCCAATGAAACAGATAAATAAATTTTCTGCCATGAGCCGGGGTTCGAACTCGGGACCTTTGCATTGGAAGATCAGTGCCATATATATATATATATATATATATATATATATATTTATATATACAATTTATATATATATATATATATATAAATTGTACCAACAAAAGAATACCTTAAAGAAATAATAAGTATATATCTGCCAGAAAAAAAACGGTAATAGAATAGTAAATACATGCAGTATCTTCGAAGAGGTAGAATTATTATGTGTACCGAATCTAATTAATGGACTGTACCTTTATTAATAATAATAATTTTTTATTTTTTTTTTGTTTTGTTGGGATCAATCAAGAAAAAATGTATAATTTTTAAGTTATTCCCAAAAAAAGTTTATTTTCATTCATAACTTTTTTCCTGATATTTAGGGGAATGTTACTATGATTCGTCACTGCTCCATTTATTATCCTTTCGTTTGATATCTCATTCATAAAAATCTATCGAATAGGAATCGTTACTGCAAAAAACTGTTGTATTATATACAAAGATAGATTTGATTTATACTTCTACTCCTTCCATATTTTCCATATTAATATAAATTTATAAATAGTCAAAGAAATTGTAAGTCAAAAAAATTTCCATACATTTATAATATCTTAATTCTATTTCTATTCAATGCCATTATTTTGCTCAAATTCATTATCTCAATACTACATTCAAGGTTTAGTTAAGGTTCAGTCTACTTCAAATAATCATTATGCTGACTGAATCCCATTATGTCGATATCTCTGCATTGAGATCTTCAGTTCAAACTCCATGATTTTTAACATGCCGTCCGAATTCATCCCACAAATGTTGTACTGGGTTCATGTCCGGGGTGTACAATTGTTTTGGGACATTGTCGATTAACCATTGTTTTACTTTCTTGGCCATGTGCTTAGGATCGTTGTCCTGTTGAAAAATAAACCCCGGCATAAGTCCAAGTTTTTCTGAAGACGTTTTTAAAATGTTCCTTAGAATGCTTAGGAATCCATAATTCTATCAATAAGATTGCCAGCTCCTAAAGCACTCATATGCCCCTACACCATTACACTTCTACCTCCAGGCTTGAAGGTCGGTCACAAATTCTTTGAAATAAGTGCTTCTATGTCTTTAATCCAGATATGTCACCTCCCGTTGGTTACAAAAAGTTGAATTTGGATACATCTGAGAAAATCACAAAATCCCCGACACTTTCTGTCTTATTGGCTTACTCGGCAACCTGTTCTTCTTATTTGTTTGGCTTTTTTCATGCAATTCGTCCATGAAAACCTTTCTTCCTCAGAACATTCCTTAATAATAGTTTTTGGATTTATGCATACCTCTTTCAAGCCCACTGGGTAAGAATATTGCATTTGTACAGGAATGAGACGCTCCCTGGTTCAGAATAGTCCTCTTATGAATTCTATCCAATTTTCTTGGACAGCCTGAATGGGGCCTATCCTCCAACGATTTTAATTCACTGTATCTGTTTAACACGTATTGCGCAATTGTATGCGATTTATTTTGTAAAGTTTCAATTTTTCGGAGAAAAAATACTTGACTTCTCAAATACACAATTTAGTCACTGTTCTAAACGCATAATGACGAATTGAAGTAGGCTGAACCTTAAATAAACTTTGAGTGTAATGTTGAGATCATAAATCTGAGCGCAATAATGGCATTGAATAGAAATAGAATTAAGATATTATAGATGTATGGAAACTTTTTTGACCTTCAGATTAAAGTTGTTTCTCTTCCTGCTATGGGATTATTGATCCACCATAAACTTGTTATCATGTTGCTACACCTTTGCCTCTACTAACCTTCCTCATTAATAAAAGTAATATAATAAATAGATTATTATCAATGTTAAAGGAAAACTAACTATATGGAAACTTTTTTGAGGCGGTCTATTTTTTCTAAAATTAGATTTATTTGGTCTTAGTTTTACAGAAAATCTAATCTGATCTGGAAACACTAAATTTTAAAGTTCTGAGTTTAGTTGTTCATAAAAATAATTTCTTTTTTTAAATTACTTTCTTTCAAATATTTATCTGCATTATTAACAAAAGAAGATATTCCAAGTATACCCAAAAAATTGGTAGGATTGAGTGTTTGTGGTCTGAATATGTTTTGAATAACTGGCAATTTATAAATTCAGGCTGTAGCTAAACAAACTACCCCAAAACCTCTATCCTCCTCCTCACCAAACTGCTGCATTTGACAAATCCGTTGCAATACAAGCCACCTCCCTCTGGAATTCCATCCCTGCTGATATTCGACACGCTCAATCAGTTTCCTCTTTCAAACCTCTCCTCTTTAAACACCTACTCCTTTCTCAATCCGACTGATTGTGAAATATACTTAAGAGAAATATCTAAGCACCGCCAGAGACTACCTCAATTTATTAAGGTTATTTTAGTTTCTCATATATATGTACAATTTACTTGTTCTTTTCTTTCTCTTTTCAGTATTTTTATCTTAAGTCAACTCTTATTGTAAATATACAATCTAATTGTAACCACACAGACATACAATCTGTATTTATATTTTGTTCTTAAGGGACTTATTATTTGTCCCAGAATAATAAAATATTTTTTCATTTCATTTCAAAAGTCAGTTTTGAGGAAAATTTATTTTAGTATTGAATAGTAGATTATGAATGATTTTTTGATTTTTTCAACTTATGAATAACCAGTACATTTTTTTATTTGTTATCTTAAACAAAAACTATTTGGAGTTATTTGTTATCTTTTTATTCATTATTTGAGTTTTCTAAAATAAAAATTCGAATAATTGGATTGTTAACTTTTATTAGCGAGTCTGGTTAAAAGTAATATGAGTGTGAAAAATTGTCTAACTTTTTGTTTGCTTTTTCCCCTTTTATTCCATCATTTTTCTCCAAATTTTAATCACAAAAAGGTCACTTAGGATCTATGAGTCCTAATTGCATCTACAGCCTCAGTTATATTATTTCATCCGTTTATTGCAAAATATCATTAAGTGACATTTCATTTTAATAAACGACATTGATGAATTTTCCCTTTGTAAAATCAGAAAATTGTGTGCTTAGTGTAACTATATAAGGTAAATAAAAGTATTTGTAACATTTCCAAGCACTTTAAGTGTTTTTGTAAAGATAACTAAGGTCAAAATATACATATTTGATGTAACATACATGTACATATTTGAAAGTTAACCTATATCAAAAATGTACTTAGTGAATTTTTGCAATAAACTCACAATTTTTATAAAAATTAATTTTAACTTTTATTTTATAATTTTAACATATGTTATTGTGAAAATGATTACAGCTTGCCCAAATCCTTTATTTGACACACTGTGTCATGCGAGGGTATCTAGATTTATAAAGACTTTGAAGGAGATAAATATAGCATTTATTCCGTACGAACAGCAGGTATGAATCATTTCTTGGGTATTGTTAATCCACTTTCTGGCGTCTCTAACATGACTAACATAATTTATAACCAAGCTTTATTTGTTTTTGTTTTTTTCCTATTCTTTATCTAATCTACTTTGAGAACTGTTTTTGGTGGAAGAATGCTTTGATTAACAAATTAAATATGTTTTTGCAAAGCGACAAGGATATTGCAGAGACCCTAATGCCTGATTGAATTAATGATTATATTAATATTTTTAGAATAATGCAACCTTCAATTTAATTATAAATTTGTGAGATTAGTTTTGAGTTAAAACAATTTATTTTTTGCGGGCAGTATGTCAGGAGGAACTGTTTAACGAACTCTGCAAATCGTACGCTTCGAGAAAGATTAAAACGCTGAAAGAGATCAACATTGCTTTTTTGCCGTATGAGAGCCAGGTCTGTCCTTGTTCTATTTCAGTTCTCCTTAAACATTTTTTTTTTTAAATTATGCATGTTGGTTTTCTTTTCTGTTAATAATTTTCTTCTCAATTTTGTAATATTTAACCTTTTTTTATTTCTATCTTTAGATTTTTGTTTTTTGTATGTGTTTAAATAATTGCTTGAAAATTTTGCTTTTTTGTTAAATGCTCATTCGCTTTGACTCATGAAATAGCTATTATTAACCAGTTATTTAATTCTATATTATTATTGTTGTGCATGAGGTACTTGATTGAGTATTTTAATACAGCTTACTAAAACATTCATTACATAGTTTTATACTTATTTATGTTTAATTTTTTTGATCAAATCCTCCATGGTTATATAAAAAACATTTCTGAATTTACTATATATCTAAGAATGAATATTAAACATTTTTATATTGAATATTTAATAGTTGATTGTTGCATTATAAAGGAAGGAGATGGTCCGTCCGGGGTGGTCATAAATAGGCTAAATAGTGGTAAAACTATTTTATTAAAAGCCAACGTTTTGACCTGACTTTTCTATGAGTTCTAAGTGAAACTCCTTGCTGAACACATCTCCCTGAAGAAGACCTGCAAAGTCGGGTCGAAACGTTGGCTTTTAATAAAATAGTTTTGCCACTATTTTAGTCTATTTATGAAGGCCACCTCGGACCATATCCTTCCTTTAAACAATTTTATTTCTACAGTAACTTTGTCATCATGTTGTTAAAATTTATATGATTATATTTCAAATTTCAAGAGTATTAATAAAATAAATTCTGTTTCATTTATTTATTTTTCTCAATAAAATAAATAATTCACAATTCATAACTTAAGTTAATTCACAATTAGAGTAACTATGATACTACATGAAAAATTTCTATTAGATTGCTGAAGTTTTAATTTTAAACTGACTTTTTTTTCTCCAATATATGATAATCATAAGTAATAACATATTTTGTTTAAAATTATTTGATTTCTGATTAATTAGTTGATTTATTCCTAGAATTTAAGTTATGAATATTGACTTAACACTTGTTTATATGCTGTAGGTGTTCTCGTTAGATGCTCCTGAAACTTTCCAGTGCTTTTACAATCCATCATTGAGTAACAGCAGACTTGCAAATATGGAACGTATCGCAGAACAGATAGCCACTTTGTGTGCCACGCTTGGAGAATACCCTTCTGTCAGATACAGGAGGTATGTTTGAATAACGATGATTTGGTGTTTTCTATTTATTCATTACAAATTTTTCAGTACATAATTAATATAATATAAACATATTTTAATGTAGGTTTTCATTAACTTAATAGATGTATATATTCTACCCTCAAACTATTCCATCATTTCCGCCATCTTCTACCCCAAAATACCCATAGACTCCTAGTTTCCTCTCTCATCTTTTCCCACTTTGACTACAGTTGTGTGGTGTATGATGGCCTCTCTGTAGAACTCCGTGATAGACTCAAAAGATTTTTTTTTTTTTGTCCTCCCCTTCCTCGCCTTTAAGGCTATACGGGGGTTTTCCCGGGCCAGGGAATGTGGGCGGGGATTTAAAAACTCCTCTGGGCACCGGGACGCAAACTCATGACTATTTTTTTATCAAAGTCTTATTTCTCAGGTTGCTGGGCAACGGCGGTGCAGTGCACACGCGTTAGCCCATTCGGCCACCCCGCCCACAGACTCAAAAGACTTATGAATATCTTCGTAAGATTTGTAATTGGGACCCCGAGACGCTCTCGTGTCTCCCACCACTGCACTGAGTTAAGGTGGCTCTTCCTCTTCTTAAAAAGACAATATTTCATAGCCACATTCCTTTATCAAGTCATTACCGATCATCGTCCTTCTTATGCCTACAACCTTCTCCAATTTAAGTCCTCAATCCATTCCCTAACTACAACATCTTGACCCTCTGACCTATACATCCCTTCTGATAGATCTGCCTCATTCCAAAACTCCTTTATAGCCCGCTCTATCAACTTTTGGAATTCCCTCCCGTTCAAAATTTGGTATGCCCCCTCCCTATACACATTCAAAAACTTCCTATTCCAATTCCTGTTCCAAAAACAGTCAGATGCCAGCTAACTATTAATACTATATACGTATTGTGTAGCAATCATATAATCATATGATAATACTTGGTAAGAGATAGTACATGTATTTCCTACTATCGATGTAGAAATTTCAATACATACATTTTTTTTTTATTCAATTATAATTAACTTTTTTTTTGTATATATATATATATATATATATATATATATATATATATATATATATATACAAGTAAAGTTTTTTTATGAAATAAACTTATTCTATTTCTTTTTCATTCTTCATTTCTCAACTCTTTAAAAATAAAAAACAGTAGTTTTTTTTAAATAAACATTCAAAGTTTGTAAAACCTAACCAACAAGCAATAAAACGATGATAGTACATACCTAACTAGATAAAGTACATTCTATAATAAATAATAAACAATATAACAATAACAAACAAATATTATCCTATCTATAACAAATAAATAAGGTATTTCGCTAATCATTTACTAACTAGCTGGGCTCTTTGCAATGTGGGTTGCTGTACGTTGTTACTTAGGACTTTCTAATTAGTACCTTTCAATAAACTAAATAATTCCTCTGGCAAGCACGTTTGCCGACCAAAATATTTATTCCTAATCTCACTGTAGACATGATCAATCAGACTCCAGGAAGTGAAAGATGTCTTCTTTTTCTCCGCAATTACAAACCGGACAATTATCATTGCCCTCCTGTACCCACAGCCCTCGGTTTAACCCTTAAATTATGTAATTCCGTCCTGCTTAGGAAAATTTACCTAATCGATACAAGATCAAATCTATCATTGAGATACGATGATATAGTATAAAAATCATATAAACCTGCGTATATTGAAAAACTGGACTGAAGACATTTTTAGAGGTTGCTTTGTTTTTCCGATTCCTCAACCATATGTTTAACTGCGATCAAATTTACGCCCAGGTTGGCGATATTTGAAATATCAAGCTTAATTTTATAAAATCGCTCTAATTCTAGCCACTTCCGGTACCAAAAAAATTTTTTTTTAAAACTTATTTTGTTATAACATGCAAAACTTTTAAAATATATTCAAAATGTATTTTCATCATATAACAATATATCAAGGCGAGACGTGTTTCATGTTCTAAAATATAATTAGGTGCATATCTTGGGAGACACAATAATTTTATTGCAAAATATATTTTAGTTAATTTATATTAATATTATCTTTTTTTTGGAAGAAGTTAATCAGGGAGAGGCTGCGGTCAGGATATACTATTATATAATATAATATTTTTTGGCCACACCCCTCATAAACTTCTTCTGAAATTAGAACCTCTGGTCAACCATTTCCATACCACTAATATCATCTCATTATTATTTCATTTCCAGTGATTTTGATAAAAATGTAGAATTAGCTCAGATAGTGCAGCAGAAGCTGGATGCCTATAAAGCCGACGAACCAACAATGGGTGAAGGACCCGAGAAGTCTCGTTCCCAGTTGTTGATTCTGGATCGAGGTTTTGATGCAGTCTCTCCTCTCTTGCACGAACTCACTCTTCAGGCGATGGCTTATGATCTGCTTCCTATTGAGAATGATGTATACAAGTAAGTTGACTGTGATAAGATATTTTCTAATAAAAATTTCGAATTTCTAAAGTGAATTTCGATGAGTGAGTTTTAAACAAAACTGGATTTCATGGAGCAGTGACGAATTATAGTCACATCCTCCTGAAATTTCAGGAAAAAAAAGCTATGAAGGAAAAGATACTTTAAATCAATGATAACTCAAAAAGTATACATTTGTTGATTGCGCCTATAATTATTTGAAAGATTACTAAATTCCGTACCAAACACAAAAAAAAAAAAATCATCAAGATCGGAAAATGATTAGCAAAGATATAGCATGTACCACTTATTCTCGTCCTTCCAAACTTTTCTCAACGGGAAATCGTTCGCTGATGAGCGAGATTTGAAAAGGTATCTCGATCAATTTTTGCTTCTAAGTCCCAGATGTTTTACTAAAGCGGAATAATGAAATTGTTAGAAAGATGGCAAGAGGTCATTAATAAAATCAATGAATATATTATTGAATAAAATTTATTCTTTGTATGAAAAAAACTTGTTTTATTTCATTTTTCAAAAACTGAACAAACTCCACCCAGTATATGAGGTAATAATGGATACTATTTAAAATTACCTTAGTTATTTAACAATATTATAATAATTTAGTAAGGGATATGGGGCTCTTGTTTTATTATTTGTTATTATAATAGCTTTGTAATTTTTTTTTTTTTTTAGGTACGAAGCTACAGCCGGAGCTCCAGAAAAAGAGGTATTGTTGGATGAAAATGATGAACTGTGGGTAGAACTCCGTCATCAACATATTGCTGTGGTCTCACAGTGAGTTTTTTGTCTTCTTAACTCTTCTTCACATTTTCCTTCCTTCTTAGTAACTTTCAGTGTTGGAAGGCCCTCGACCCATTTATGCCACTCATTGCAGTCCTTCTCCAGTATCCTCATAGAACCCAACTGCTTTCCTCTTTTCTGTCCTCTGTTCTTGTTTATTTCATCCATCCATGTTTTTTAAATTGTCTTTTGGCTTTTTCTCAACTTTTTAAAAGTGGCAGATGTCTGTCCGCCTTTAATATGAGGCGTCTCAATTCCTCTCAATCTAAACTTTAGGGTCTTACCCTTATAGTTTATTCGTACGTCTTCACCTTCTCGGCCCACCTACATGATATTAATTTTTTCAACCATCCCTTTCCTTTCAAGCTCAGCTTTCCATTCCGGGCTGCTCGCTGAAATTTTGTTGCTGAGCCTGCTATGAGGACGATATCGTCTGCTCATACATGAGAGCTTAGGCTTGGCTAGTATGGTTCTCATATTCCATTTGCCTATGATCGCTCTTTCAGTTCTGCACTTACTGATTTGTAGGATCTCCTTTCACCTTTCTTGACCTCTTTGTCCGTATTTGAACTCTTTGGTTCTTTTCCAAGACTTTTGACAGATTTTTATGTATTTTTCTTAAAAAATGATAAACTTTCTACAGCTCGACCACGATTAGAGAATGCAGAACAAAATTTAATCTAATATTTTGTTTTTCTCTGTCCCCAAAAATATATTTGTGAATACTTTGCTAGTAATTTTGAGAGAAAAAAATGTTACTTTCAACATAGTATAACACGAGTTTATAAGAAAAAAAAATACTATTAAATAAATCAGGTCCGATACAGTACTTGAAGGGTTTATATAATAGGTATCTCTTGTAGCCATTCAAGTGAGCACGTTACTTTATCTATTATTTTAATCAATCCCTTATTTAATCCTCTTCACACTTACATTCCACTTACTATTTATTAATCATTTATATATTATTCATTCACTTTTTCAGTACCATTGTTTTTCAAATATTATCAGTTATTTCTTGGTCAGAATATTTGTCCATTAGATTACTATACTTACTTCTTTTGTCGATTATCATATCAGACACTATTGTTGTTCCTCCTTTAACCTTTATACTTTCTAATTTTATAGATTCATATTGAAGTCGATAATTCGATATATCATTGTTTTGCTCCTAAAATATATTCACCTTTCTATCTTTCTTTTTAGTTCTGATGAGAACCCAAAATATGGTTTAAGACATCAGCATCAAATAAATAATTAGCATTTTTTTTTCTTCTTCAATTATCATATGCTCAACCATCTATGCATTTAGTATTATCTTATTAATTTAGACTCGGCAAAGTACTCAGCAGTTTTATCTTTTTTATTCTAGGAATGTCACAAAGAATTTGAAGAAGTTCACAGAGTCGAAACGGATGCCGCAAGGAGACAAACAGTCCATGAGGGATCTTAGTCAAATGATTAAAAAGATGCCACAATATCAGAAAGAACTCAGCAAGTATTCAACTCATTTACACCTTGCGGAAGATTGCATGAATGCCTATCAAGGGCATGTCGATAAGCTCTGCAAGGTTGAACAGGTAAGAGGAGTTTTGTTTGTTATTCTATTCAGCCTAAAACAGGTCTTATAAATTTTACAATTTTTTATTTAAGATATGTATGCTGATTTATAGAAATTAATTAAAATATAAAAATCTAATTTTGGCTCGATAGTGATTATTTTATTTTATCTTTTTTATAACCATAGGATTTGGCTATGGGTACCGATGCCGAAGGAGAACGTATAAAGGACCACATGAGAAATATTGTTCCTATTCTCCTCGACCAATCCGTCTCAAATTATGACAAGATGAGAATCATCCTCCTTTATACTCTGTCCAAGAATGGTATTTCTGAAGAGAACTTGAACAAACTTGTTCAACACGCTCAGATCCAGCCACATGAGAAACAGGCCATTGTCAACTTAGGAAATCTTGGCCTAAATGTTGTAGTTGATGTAAGTATTTTTTTATTTATTTAAGGTTATTTTTTTCATAAATTGAAGTTTCCCTCAGCCCAATTCCTCCCTCACTCGGTTACCCACTTGTTGCTTTCCATTCCTCCTTCTACCCTCGGCCTCCCACTCAAATACCATTTTGGGAAATCTTTCACATGACCATACCACTTCAATTTTCTTTCTTCCATTAATTCTAGTACAGTATTCCTAACTTCTATCCTTTTTTTAATGCTCTCATTTCTGATTTTCTGCGTCCTTGAGACTCTAGCCGACCTCCTCCAAAAATCCATCTCACATCCAAGAATCTTTTGCTGTGTGATTTTTTGAGCGCCCGTGTTTTATTACTATAGAGCTAGATCGTTTTTTTAAGTTTGATGACTCAAACTCATTTGGTGAGATCCCCTGACAGTTTTGAAATAATTTTAGTTTAAAATACTATTTAATACCAACCCATTATTAAATAAGATCTGTTTAATCAATTAGCAAAAATCTGTGTAACACTGTTTTGAGTGAACGGCTGGATCAATTATTAAGTTTAATTTTTTTTTCTATTGGCATTACAGACCCTGCAGTCTTAACAAGCCTGCTCTACCTCTGCCTGTCTTGGCTATTTATTTCCATTTAACTTCATGCTGCTCTGTTGCACCTTTGTTGATTCTATCCATCCATCTGCTTTTTGGCCTTCCAGTTGGTCTTTTGCTTTCTGTTAAGACATTCATTGTTACGTAGAGGCTTCCAGATGGATTGCTATAAGCTACATGCCCTGCCCATCTTAATCTCTGTGCCTTCATATCATTTTCGTGTGTATAGGTACAGCCATGATCAAGTTATCACACTTTTTGTGGTTTTTTGCTTCTTTCTCCACTGAACTCAAATTTAATGAAGTGAGAACATGGCTGTGTTCCCTTAACAATAGTAGTGTTTTATTTCTGGTACTGGTATAGGTGAGAGGACTCGATCCGGCAGGTGGGCCTATTGGTCCTTTTAGCCAACCCTAGAGGCAATATTACCAATGGTAGTCCATTACATCTCCACCTCTGCCTCAAATCTTTTCATTCTTCTAATGAAGTTCAAAATGCAAGGCCATTTTATGGAGGAAGCTTCCTGTTCTAGAATTCTGTAGGAGCCCAGAAGCTTGTGCCTGAGTGATGCTAAGCGGTCACATTCTGTTCCCAGCGCTTGTCTGCACAGATGGCAGACTTCATTTTCAACTATCTTTGGATGTCTTTTAATTCTGTAGTGGCCTGTTAGTATTCCATCGATCAGTCTGATTTCCTTTTTGGCTAGGCCTGGCAGCCACATAGTTCTAGTGGAGGAAGGGTTTTCTTATGAGGGCAACTCTTTTTTTCTACCATTTTGACTATATCTAAGTGGCCAGTAAGTATTTCTGATTCTTGCACTGCCAAAAAACTTCTTCTTAAATTATGATTGTTGTCAATTATCTTCATACCATTAAGAAAATATTTATATTCATGTAAAGAATATGTTTATATTATAAAATTCTATTCACCATCCAGTTGATAAAATTTCATATTTTGTAATTAAATTGTTTATTTGTTTTAAAATAATTTACTATTCATTCAAGCCATATAACTATTATATATTAAGCATGTTTTTTCTTCCATCAGGGTACTCGTATAAAGAAGCCATATGTGCCTCCTCGCAAAGAGCGTATTACTGAGCAAACATATCAGATGTCTCGTTGGACACCTGTAATTAAGGATCTCATGGAGGATTCCATAGATGACAAGCTCGACTTGAAGCATTTCCCCTTCCTAGCCGGTAGGGCAGCTTCTTCAGGATATCATGCTCCTGCCAGGTACAATAACACTTGAGATAGATATTAATTATTCTCCCCTCATAATAGAATGGTAAACCTTTTTCGAATCAATAGAGATGACCCAAACATTTTCGATAAAATTATATTAGTAGGTCCAACTCTCACCAGTTCCCGGAATTTCCCGGAAAACCGTGTCCCTTGAACTCCACGAAACAAAAGATTACGCTGCCCTTCTGTTTATAATGAAGTCTAAACAAAACAGACATCACCAATTCAATGAAAGTTCACCATTTTATTAAAAATTCATAATTTGATTTGTTTATTGTTCTACAACTATTTCTGTTTCATCATTTTTGAACTGTTTGTCTATCTGTACTTCTTGAGATAATTTTATTATTGAGATTCAGCAAACGTACATTTAAACCATCGTTTTTATCTAAATGATTAATTTTTTTCTTTTTCTGTTGACATTACAGACCATATAGACTTTTTGCCACCTTAACAAACCTGTTTCATCTCTGCCTGTCTTGGGCTATTTCTTTCCATTTATCTGCACACTGCTCTGTTGATTCTATCTATCCATCTGTTTTTTGCCCTTCCACGTGGTCTTTTGCCTTCTATTGAGGCATTCATTGTTATGTAGAGGCTTCCAGATGGATTGCTAAGAGCTACATGCCCCATCAAATAATCTTTGTAAACAAATGACAAATAATTAAAAATACAAAATTATTGTTTGTCATTTTTCATATTTTGTTAAACAATATAGTAAAAAGCACATAAAATCAATCTTAATTGTTATTTTTAACTTTTTAAACTATGAAAATTGTTTGAAATCTGTACTGAAATTTATAATTTTCATTAATTTATGATCAGATAATCAACTTCATATTTTCATTATTATATTATCAACATTATTTGTTCTTATTGTTCTATTAAATATTCTCTAAAAGGCTTAGGTGGTCAAAATGAAAAATGTCTGATTGAGTTTTTAAAACCTATACATATCCGTACATATATTATTACAGTAAGGCTCAAAATCGGTTTTGTACCAAATATAAGCTCCTGTCATGCTCAAATACCATGAATGGGATACCGTTGGATTCAGAATTTCACGGAGGGTTAGCGAATCGTATTCTCCACTTTTGTTTTTCTTTCTAAAATAAATAAAGTCGATACAAACATTTTGCTAGGCTTCAATACCTGAACGGTGGTAGGTCTGTAGATCGATACGGGACAAATTGGATCTTGAAGATTTTGATGCGTACAGCAAGACCCGGATAGTTCCTCGGAACTATCGGATCCTGCGTTTTTAAGCCCAAAAACGTACTATTTTCGAGATAACGCAAGGCATAGGGTTCGCATCCACACAACCTTACATTAATTGTAGTACTGTCATTGAATACATGTCTCATTTCGTCGACTTGAGGTCTCTATGATCGAGAGAGGAGGAGTTTATATTATTTATCGATGGTGTTTTTGATCGGCAAGCCATATCATCGTCAATTTTTCACCAAATCTCAAGATTGAGCCACCAATTTCGAAGGCTTCCTTCTCCTTCAGGCGGGCAAAATAGTCCAATCACCCCGAAAATTCAGGCAAACAAGTTATGAAAGAAAACAAACTTTATTTGCGAATAACTAAAAAATTACACACTTTTCCCTTGGTTATGCCCGTGATTATATAAAAGATTACTAAATTCCCTACAAAAGGAAAAAAAAATCATTGAAATCGGACAATTTTTAGCAAAGATACAGCTTACTGAAATTTGTAAACATGTTGGTTCCAAACAAAAATGAAGATTTAAATTAATTTTTGTTTTCTTTGTCGATTATATTTATCGATAAAGTAACATTTGATTTCTTTATCTTTTGATACGTTGCATTATTTTATTTTCTTATTAATCTGGCATTTGATAACAATATGCTGTGCGAATTTTTCGCACGGGCCTACTAGAATTATATATTCTATAGTTAAAAGTGTGAGTTGAAATTTTATTTTGTTTCGCAGCGTGCGATATGGACACTGGCACAAAGATAAGGGTCAGCAGACTGTGAAGAATGTACCTCGTATCATCGTCTTCATCATCGGCGGCATGAGCTTCTCAGAGATCCGATGTGCCTATGAAGTTACCAACGCCGTCAAGAATTGGGAAGTCATAATTGGTATGTTAAAATTTAAATTAAATTTAAAAAAAAAAGGTTTCTACAACAGTAGTTCTGGCAGTTACAGTCATAAAAGCTACTCTTGTGTTAACTGTTTGAAAATTGTCATCATGGCATTTAGTACAGTAGTAATACTGTCGCAGAAGTCAGATTTTATATGGTAGTTGGTTATTTCTTAACTTGAGTGAACCTAACATGGTCAGTTGGAATGGTATTCTAACTGATGATTGACATTCTGATTGATTGTGTTAGGTTAAGAGTGATTGACTGATTTCTAGAAATTCAATCATGAGAAGTGGGGAGTAGACTAATCTCCAGTCATTTACAAGATCTTAAAAGCAATAGATATACCGAATTCCCACGTAGTACCTTTCTTCATTACTTTTATCCTCGTCGCCAAATATTAAGTACTTGGAATACTAAAGAACAAAACAACAATATTAGTGAACACAACTCAATGGATATACCGAATTCTCAGAAATAGGACCTTTTCAATCTGGAAATTAATAATGTTCCTTTTGTGAGAATTTTTGTTGATAAAAAAGTTGTAGGTCACAATAAAATGAAGCCATTCATGTAGTTTTAGACAAGTATTAACAATTTGATGAAAATGGTCAAAGATCTTATCAAAGAGATTTTTTAAAATATCACTCTCTTTAATTAATTGAATTTAATATTTACTTATTGGTGGCTTACTTCGAGAACCTAACTCGATTCCTTGTATTTATTCAAGGCTTTAGAGGTAAGCCCATCGTTAATACTTATGTAAATAACCTACTAAAAGTTAATTGTTAAATGATTTGTTTTTTGGCGGGAATAGCGAATAGCCTTCCGCTTTTATATTGGGGAACTAGGTTATTTACACTTGAGATAATTAAAACAAAACCCCAGGACTGGATATAGACTTTTTGAGGGTGTTTAACTGTCGTTGGGAATTCGGGAATCTAATACCTTTTGTGACATTAAGTGAGAAGAAACAATAAGAATATATATTTGAAATGTGTGACTTAGTAAATACACTTTGAATGAATTGACTCACCTGGTTTGTTATTCTTCAATCATGAGGCATATAGGGCAACTAAATAAATAAATGACTTTTCACTCCTGCATAACAAAATGATTTATTTCTACAACTGTAATAAATTGACTCTATTAAAGTGTTGTAAGTATAGACTTGATCTTCTAAATCTTGTAGTAGACTCTCTTCCCAGGTATGTGTTCCGCCTCAATGTCCAGCCTCAAGTGCCTGGCGTCATCTTCCAGCTGCTGCTACCTGACCGGACCTGTTTCCTCCTTCATCGATTGTTTATCGATATGAGATTTTCCAATGAGCAATTTGTCCACCGCACAATTGAGTACAATTCACAGTGCAACCTCACATTCCTATATATTATATATTCCTTCTCATTCCCTCACACAATGTCATATAAAGGAGTAAATACCGGGGGATGTCTACTACATATCCCTACCGTTTAACTTTTAAATTTTGTGTTCGAGTGAGAACAACAAAATGTAAGAAAAATGAAATTTTTGTGTGTAACAGAAATTTGAAATTTTTTAATGTGCATACTTAAAATCATTCCTAAATGTACTCATGTATCAACGAAAGAAAAAAAAAATTATTTATATGATATATATTTAAATATACAATATATACAAAATCACAATATATACAGTATAAGCGGTTTTAGGTGTACTAGAAAAATTACTGGATAGTTTAAGGTGAACATTTAAATCCTATTATTGCTAATTAAAAGTTAATATAACATGTGAATAAAATTTTTTAATTCCACAATGGGAATAAATTTAGAGTAATTTATATTATTTATTTATTATTAAACATTTTTATTTTGTATCCATAAGACAAGCCTGTGTTTGTAGCCATACATTTCCAAAAATTTTATTTTATCATTCTCCTAACCTGGGTCTATAACCCCAAATTTTTTGTTTTATCCTGTAAGGTTCTTTATCAGCTTTAACTTCTTCTGAATCACTGATGTATATAACATTGTCCTCAGGTTTAGAAGAGGTATTATTAGTTGTAATGTCGATCAAAGTTTCTCCTTTTTCTGCTTCACTTATAATGTCAACATCAGTCTCTCAACCTCACATTCCTATATATTATGTATTCCTCCTCATTCCCTCACCCAATGTCATATAAAGGAGTAAATGGGATGTCTACTACACTTAATACAATTTTAAGTCGATGATTAATGGAGATTGCTAATATTAATTTCAGGTTCTTCACACATCCTGACTCCTGAAGACTTCTTAAGTAACCTCGCCAACCTGAGCAACTAGAGAACGGACTGATGATAGTTAGCCAGCGTAGTCACTCTTGTTCTTATTTGGTACACACTCAAATGTGATAATGTAAAATTACGTAGCTTCTTTTAAATGTAGAAAGGGCACACTCTCAGAGTTTACTTGTTTGTTACAACACAATGTATCGTCGTATAGAACCAAAGCAGAACACATTACTTTTTTCTTAAAATGTGTATATCTTCCGAGGCATATAGGTATATCCTAGATATAACTTTATTAATTATTTATTTTAAACTGAGAAGTATAGAATTTATGTTCGTAGACGACAGTTTATAGGTAATGATCGTTGCATGTAATCTTAAAATTTTTAAGATTTTTCCATTATTAAAAAAGAAATAATTTCATTGATTTGTTATAAGTGTTTTATACTCTTCTAAGTCATTTAGTTGAAAATTATTTGCAAAAGAAAACAAAACAACAACAACATTAAATTAAATGAATAGTAATTAGATTAATTTTGAGAAATAACTTGATAGATAAATAAAAAAGGCCTAATCATGCTCGGTGATTTTTAATTAATAAAAACTCCAAGCCTATTTTTCAAAGATTTGATTGATATTGACAGAATGTCTCTCTGTTTATTTAATGCTATCTTGAATAATGGATTTATTTGAATTGTTATTTTCATGATATGTATACAAACAGTCAGTAACAAAAATTTCTGTACGAATTTAAAGGTTTTTTTTTTTAGCATTTGTTAGTTTTTATATGATAAAAAAAAATTTAAGGGAAGTTTTTCTTGTAAAAAAATGAAAGAAAATAGGTTTCGTTAGAAAAGTTTTTTCAACAACTATTGTGTGATTTATAAACATAACAGCACTATACGCAGTTGCTAATTTCATCTATTAGTGTTTTCTGTTATCATTTGAAAGATAGGTCAAAGATCTTTTGAAGTTCAACATATTTTCAATTTTAATTATGAAAAATTATTGTGTTTGCAAATCAGTGGGTTTGGTATATGTTCAACAAGTGAGAAAGGTGTATCATATTATGGAAAATTTAAAATGAGCCTTTTATGAATACACCTCTGATCACTTTCTAGGTATTGATAGATTTGTTTTTATGTTTTTTCTAATGAAAAAGACTGGTTCTTCCACAAAATATGACCTTGGAAACAACCGATTGTGAGTGAAGAAAGTTGGAAAAGGGTTCTATTTTTCACTAATAACTGTGGTACAATTTGAGGAAGACAGATTTTTTATTTTATTTATTATTACTCAAAAAAAAAAATGTACTGTTCTAAAATTGTTGTTACTGACTGTATATTTCACGGATTTAAACCATTTTTATTGGTAATAGTCTTCAGTACAATAAGCCTGCATTGAATCTAGATTCCAGTGGAGAAAAAACTTCTTGAAGATTATTTTAAAATGACAAAAAGAAACAGTTATCATATAAAGGTAATTCCAGGCGAGATTGGCCTCTTTTTTTTTAATTACGCGTTTATAAATCAGTTACTTATGAAAAAAAAAAAGAAAGAAATACTCCAACTCTTATACCTGTGGCTGCTGCAATATTAGTTGGCAAAATTATACATATATTCAAAATAAAGAGTTAAAATTAATATATTAAAATTTTTGCTTTGTTGTATTGTAATAAAATTATAAAATTTACAGTTTATTTTCAATTAAACTTGTGTTCTGTTTCATGTTTTCCTGTTTTTCTTCATTACTTCCAGCGGGGGAATTCTTCTAGCTATTAGTGCAACGCCTTTCTGTCCCTGGCAAGGTTCTTCATTTCTTCTAAGGTTTTCTCTTTGCATGTCCCTATTCATTCCATGTGGGTGATATAGGATTTCATGGTCTTCTTCCCATCTTTCTTACCACCATCGTTTTAATCAGGTTTCTGTGATTGTCTGTGCGGTAGACATGTCCACACCACTCCAGTTGCCTCTTCTCTATAGTTACTTTACATTCAGTTCTTCCCTAATTCTGTCTTACTGGACTCAGTTCTTCCGGATTTTCCCCCCAAATCTTCTAAGGAACTTCATTTCCGAGGCAGTGATAAGATTTAGTAGCCTCTCATTTATAATCTAGCTCTCTGCTCCATAGAGAAGTAGTGGTTGGAAGACAGACTTGAATAAGTGGAGTTTTCTGTCCTCTGCCACATTTTCTTTTTCTGATAACATGATAACAGATCTGGTTGTAAATGGAATCAGCCATGGAGAATCTTCTCGAGATTTTTTAATACTTTTTAACAGATCTACTGATCACTATGCCACATTATCTATCAACTCTTTACTACAAACAATTTTGAGTTTGTAGATTGTGGAAACAACATTGCTATTTATGAATCACTGTCCAGTCTCACCTGGAGTAACCATATATGATGCATTTTATAAATCCAAGTGGTAATTTGCTTTCTGCTTTAATTTTTTCTCGTATTAAAAATTTTCTTAGATGCAAATTGATTTATCCATTATTTACATGATGTTTAGGCTTTTATCGAAGTTCTTCCTTCAGTAATTGAATATTTACTGGCTTTAATCACTATTTCACGGTTATGATTAATTATGTCGTCTTTGCACGGAGAAAAGACATTTTCACATTATCAAAGTATTATAGTATTAATATTTTATTTTATTAAGCTCCAAAAACATTTTTTTTTTTTAAATAAAAAAGAAGATTAGCTTGGCAATTTAATATGTATTGATTTATACCTTCTATTAATAACCCACCTTTCTAATGATTTTAGTAATTTTTAAATAAAAATCGTATAGTTTATAAGTTATATTAATTTTGATTATTCTTTTTATGAACATTCCTTGTCATTAGATTAGTAGTCACAATAGAAATTTGAAATGAGTGAATTGAGTTCTTTTCAGGCTTATATCTGACGTATTAAACTAAAAAAAATAATAGATACTTATCATATCTAAATTTTCTATTTCATAAAAAAAAAAAAAACACCCTTCATTCACTTGGAACCACCCATTCCATGCAATTTAGTTGAATGAATATCTTTAAGTATAATGTGTGTCATTCATAAGACATAGATTTATCTTTAATGATTTGCAGTATTTTCAAATATATTAATTTATATTTAAATTATAAGATAGCAATTAATTTCATTAAATAATTAATGAAATATATAAAATTTAAAAAAAAATTAACTTAGAACGTTATTTGATAATATTGCTTATAAACAGAGATTGGAAATGGAGGGACAAATTTTATAATTAATGAAGTTCTCATTATGCTTTGAAAGTGTTTTCAGAAATATTACATGTTCCTCATTTCTTTTATTATTATAAAATAATTATTAATCATAATTGATGAAGTGATAACTTTATCGGGAACAAATGTATGAATGTTTTAAATCCATTCTGATTTAGAATGCAGAATTTAATGTCTCATTTCATGAACCTTTTATACTACGGAGGAATTATTCTCTTTAATATTTCTGAACATATTCAAAGTTCTAAATTATGTTAAATTTTCAAAAAATCTTATATGAAAAGAGGAAAAAAATTAGTCATTTATTTATTTTAATTTCTAAAAGTATTATAATATAATATTTTTATGCAGCAGAAACTGAACTCTTATTTTAAAATTTATTTTTAATTAAATTTATCAAGCAATTCCTTAACTCCTGGACTAAATGCTGATTACGTTCTGTATATAAGCCATTTTGTAATCTAGTCCTAAACACCGTAACAAATTTGAATCATTTGTAATAGATGCTATCGCTTTTTATTCCTTAACATTTATTTGTAAATATAAATAACATAGGATTTTTAGTATAGATATTATCAGATTACAAAAAAAAAATTGTAAATGAAAATTTTTTTAAAAAATATACTTTTGTACATCATAATGTAGCTTGAAGCTTTCAAATTCACTATCTAGCGATAATGCTTTTATTTTTTATGTGATGTTAAAAGCAGTTTTCGGTTTTATTCAATATAATTTAATTTTATTAATTATGTATATTTTAATGAACTGTTTGAAATTTAAATTGTATTACATAGCATCTATCAATTGATATGATCTTAAAATGGCATTTTAAAAAGTGTTTGTTGTGATTTAAAAAAATATGATTTTATTGGCTGTTATTAAAGTATTCTTTAAAAACACTTATATTAAATCAGACTTGCAAAAAACAATTTTTTTAATGGCACTTAAATAAAATTTATTTGTTATTCCGTATTTAAAATATAATATACACATTTCATTATTGTAGGATACCAAATTAACAATTTATTTACAAATTTGTATTCCCTTGAATGTGTTGAATTTCACTTGTCAAATTTTTTTCCTGCCTTCTTAACTGACCCAATACTATTGCTTTTAACACAAGTGAAATTATTAATATTGAATTAAATATAATATATTCAATATTAAATATAATTGTATTTAATGTTAAGAATCATACCGGGAGAAAATTAACCTATTTCTGTTCTTTTTATCTTTACCTTACATTTTAACTAACTTTCATAATAACAAACAATGTAGGTGTATTGGTTTGATGTAACCTAAAAATTTTCTCTCTTATTTTTATTATTATTTTTTTAAACTCCATTAACAAACACTTTTGGTAAAACCATTTTGAAGAGGTTTTGTTCAAGGGATATTTTGCTTGTTTATATTGCATATTAAAGTTTATAGAAAAGTATTTAGCAATTTCAAGTTTGTTGTCTGTTAATAATGTATATATATTTGTCATTTTAACACACAAGATAAAGTATATGTGTGTTAAGTTAAAATTTATGACAATTCTAACTTTGTTGAGTATTTTAAATCTTATGTTAAACTTAGATTAAAATTTAAAAAAATTACAATATAAATATTTATTTTTCTTCTAAGCCTATGTTGCAATATCTGTCGTAAAGGAAATATATGAGTTCTGTGATACGCCCATGTATTTTTCTTATAAGAAATAAGTAGTTTTGGAATAAAATATATATTAATTTTTCAACACCAACATTGATTCCTAATATTTATATACTTTTTTTTTTTTTTTTTGTTTGTTTTTTTGAGTTACCATCCTTATATTTTCTTTCTTTCAAAAAATACATATTTATTGATTAAAGAGCAATTCTCAATAGTAAAAATTTAGATGTTGATAAATTTCAAAATTGGATTTGCAGTCAATTGTTCTGTCTTTAATATTTATCTAAAATAAATCTTTTCCTAGTTATAGGATAGTTTTAAGAAAGGAATTGGCTTGCCATCAATTGCTTACTACCAACAATTTGTATTATAAAAATGTGTTGTTTATATATTATGTATAAAATTATTGTATAATTATTTAGTTTATTGATTTTTAAAAAATTTTTTTGTGACTGATAGTATTTTGCATGTTTATTATTAAATATATATATATAAATAAATGGGAAAAAAACAAAACTAAGCCAAAGTTTTAAAATTATATATATACCATAATTTAAATTATTGCTTATAATTTATTTATATTGTACAATGGTAAGGCAATATTCTAATTTCAACTGTTAGCATTTAATGCGTATTTAGTTTTAGAAGAGGAGTAATTTCTTTCCTTAATATTAACTAAGCATTATTGAAATCCTAGTACCTATATTGTAAAATAAAAATTATATTCAGCAAGTTTGTTGTTTATTATTATCATTATAAAGCTTTTGAGTCTTGTATAATATATATAATACTAGTTGTAATACTATTTT